ATCAATTAATATGGGTATCATAATAAATTATGCACTTCATTTATTATTTCTTAAAGGGCATGAAAAGTCAAAACATGCAAAGTAAAAGTGAACGGAGGGAGGGAGTATATGCTTCAATAATACCAATGTGGATCACATAATTTATTTTTTGGGTAGTTAACAGCTGTTGATTATCAGTGATGAGTAATGACAATGCATCACAAGCCAAAAGCTGTGAGATTCCCAGCTTTTTTGAGTAGTGATAGGTTTTCCTTTAAGTATATTAAAAGAATACCATTTTAATTACAATTTAGTTATATTTGTCATTAGGATAACCGAAGCCGCTAAGATTAGATAGATATCAATGACTTGGCAATGCCTTGAGTCACATTTTATAATGCAACAACAATTACGCCAATCCCAAACAAACTGGAATAAATGATTTAGATCACACTGTTTATGTTTGCTCCGTTTAAACCTATCTTAATTCTGCATATATATATACCTAGCTAGGTGAGTACTTTCTAACGTATTATGTATTTTAAAATTTTATCATAAAATAATTAGTTTAATTTATATGCTGACAGTCAATCTATTATAATTATTTTTTTTACTTGAACGTTGATCGGCAAGGTAATATCGATGGAATAATGAATCATTTAAAATTAGGTATGGCACGTAGTTAGCGAAGCTAGGGAATTAGAGATTGTAGAAGACGACGAAGAAGATTCATTGAAGTTACAGTGGTTGACCCAGAGTACGTGGCATCTTAATCCAAAACATGATGGTGTCTTAGTCTTATGTGGACCACAATCCATAAGTAACATTGGCTCCATATAGAACTTGTGTTTTTTTTTCTTCTTTTTAGGTGCAAATTCCAATACACAAATGATGTTTGCTGAGAATGGGATTCCAACCCATGAGGGGAGGATGTTTGGCTCTAGTTGAGGAGTTAGTCCAAATTAAATAATGGGGTTTTCCTGTCCCTTTTTTGGCTTCTTTTTTTTATATATAAAAAGTTGTATTGGAGTTTAGGTTCCAAATATATATGTAGATGATTGGACCACCTCATGTAAGTTGAGCTGGAGTTGGAAAATTCCAAGATACATTTGGAGTAGGACATTTCGGATTTATTATCAAGATTATAAAGCAAATGTGTCCCTCCACGGAATAGAGAGGCAATTGGTGTTTTACACTCTCCAAGGGGAGAGCCACCCTGTGAATTATTATTCTCTGTTTCTTATGTGTAAATGAGTATGAAAGGCACTTTATCTTCTTATGTTTGCTCCAAAATATATTGAAATCAAACAATTTTCTTTTTATTTAGAAAAAGAGCCATACATTGCAAATGTTGTAAGGAAGCACTATATATTTTAGAGATCGGAATTACAGTCTAATAGTCTAGCTACGCTAGACATTATTTACTTTACTCTCCTCCCAAAATCATAAAATGGGAAGAAAAAAATCAAAAAAGTGGTAGCGTTATAATAGATATATATGTATGGATTTCGTTATCTCTAGTCTCTATTGAGAATGTGTTCACACTAAGCTAAGATTAATTACTTATTGGAGGTGGAATAACGGTTCTCTGATAAATAAAAGTGGCAAACCAATTTTAATTTGTATTACAAACTGAAATGCTTAAACGTGTCTAATAATGGGAATAGAGGATCACTTCGTACATCTAGTGGGCAATTTGCCTCGTCGATCTCTGAACCTGAATAAATGGTCATAAGAAACATCTCAAATTAATGAAAACAGTTGGGTTGTGCACATGATAATGTTTTGACTATTTGATTTGTTTCTTAAAACGGTAATGTTCGTGTAAGTTTTGGCACACTTCAAGTATATTCTGAGTACAACTACGTCCCACTAGTAAATTAAGATACTTAGATAACTCTGCCAAGGAGGGTAATTTGAGTACTTAATATGCATTGATACAGATTATTACAATCATCATATTTTGGTTTTCAGTCAAATAGTCCTTAAGTTAAAGAAGGATGAATAATGGACTTAATTATATATGTCCAGTAGTAGTTAGTTTAACTATTTGTGTGACTTCACCTTATCTAACAATTCAACCTAAAAACAAGGCCATAGATAATTTAGTTAAATATGGCCAGCCAATTGGTAGAGGTCATACGTTTCTAATTCTTTTAATTGGTTTTGTATGTTTGGATGAATCCGCCAAACTCACTTAAACTATTCTCTAATGCACCTTGCTTTGTCTTTCTTTTCAAAGGTACGGTAAAGTTTTAAGTTTGATCAATTAGCCAACTTCCAAGAAACATTTATCTAATGTAGTTTATGCAAAATGTCATTTATTGTGATAATTTTGAAGTTGTCCGAAGAGAGATTAACACGAACTTTGAGATTTACGCTGCGAAATCTACATGTTATTACAGCTAATAAGTGAAAATTACTGCCTCTCTGAAAAAGAAAGATTACTTGGTCTGAAGAAACATTGTTACCTTTTTGTTTTCTTTTAGGTTTAGAATATTCACCCAAACTTTTTGCCGCATCTCATTTGATATGCGGAAAAAGGGATTTTTATTTTTATTTTTAACCTGTGTTAAAATTAGAAAAACTGCCTGAAATTATTCCATGCGCTGTCCGTTGTATAAAGAAAATTCCATTAATTATTACTTATTTGAACAGTGAAGTTTTCAACCAAGATCTTTTCACGTCGCTAATTATATGAGGAGTGCATAATTGTTACATTAGGAAAGTGGGTTAGATTATTGGGAACTTTACATAACTGTCATAATTTAAAAGAAATATAATAAATTCGTTGCATAAAATCTAATATTATAGTTGTGGCAGGAAAATATTTATACTTGTAGTACACAGTTCCATTAAAATAGAAATATTAATTATTAATCACTAAACATATGTAATTTGAATGAAAAGTCAATAATTCTTTGTACAAAAATCATGCCTTTTTTTTTTCTTTATCTATTAGCTTTCCTTATTTTTCTTCATCTTCTTAATTTTATTTTCTGCCGAATCCAATATATTTTCTAAATTTATTCCATTCGTTTTCTTTTTAATTATCTTTCTTAAGTTTCTCTCTTCCTTCTTTCTTCCTTTCTTAATATAAAGATCTTACTTCGATAATAATATACGCTAATATATACAAAACGTATATAAAAATATATATATTGAATTAACACATATAAAATATACTTTTTCAATTAAGATGACACTTAGACATGTGAAATATACTGTAGACAATAAATTGCGGCGAGAAAATAAAATCAAGACCGAAAAATATTGCAACAATCGTAGTATTTGATTTCAAATATTTGAGTGTACAATCTCTATGAATCCTCTGATTCTTCTTTTCAATAATAAATAAATTCAACGGCCTTTGAGCTTGATCTTGAATATATAGTTGTCGCCACGAATGATGATCTTGTTCTTGAGCTTTAGCTTGATTGCTTGAATTTGACCTTGATTTGTTCTTCGTTCTTGAGCTTGAACTTGATTTGTTCTTCGTTCTTGAACTTGAACTTGATTGCTTGGAGCTTGAAACTTGTGGAGGAATTTACACTGTTTGATCCACGAGCTTTTTCTTGCTTCTTGTTATAACTTTTTGGTTTTTTTTCTGTGTTATAAAGACCCCTATTTATAGTTGTGGGAGGAAAGAGTTACGATAAGAACAAACTCTTTCCGACCAATCAAATTGAAGTGTGACAAGGCCGCATTTGATTGGCCAGAATAAGTCACTTGCACACGTGGCGCGGTTTCATTAGCTTTTTAATTTGGCTTGGCATGCCTTGTCATTTTGACACGTGGCATGATCCTATTGGCTCTTTCGTTTGACATGGCGTGCCACATCATTTGACACGTAGCACCAAACTGGGCCTCTAGAAAATGACATTTTGGGCTTAATGAAGTGGACTCATCACTTTAGCCCAATTAAATGGGTTAACCTAATGAATTTGGACTTATTTATTTAATCCATATGTATTGGACTTATAATTAATCCAATTATATTAACCGAATAAATTTATTTGAACTAATATATCTTTAAAATATAGTCCCAATTATTTTACGGATTTAATTCCAATAAAATTTATATGCCTACATATACATAAAAAAATTATATCTTAAATTTAATTAAGATGGCATAAAAATATACAAAANATAAAGTGATACTTTATATACAAAGTATAAAAGACATATAAATCAATACATCTTGAATTTAGGTGGCATTCACATATGCATCAGATTTTAAAAAATGGAGTGAAGAAGATGAATGTTGGGCTTAATTTTTGTAATATGCTAATAATAAAAAAAAAAGTGTTCTTTATGAAATAAACAATAAATGATGCTATTTTTTTTAAATAATAGTTAAAAAAATATCAAGTGTGTAAAAAACTCTAGATTAATTTGCAAGGGGCTGCATGTGAGTCGAAACTAACTTCAGTATAAATTAATTTGTTTCTTGTGCATATGCAAATGATAGAACTATAATCACTTTAAGCTCGTGCCAGAAACTATTTACATTCGATAGTCGAAAAAGTATATAAAATTTATATAATTTTTGTTTATAACATAAAGAGTATATATATAAAAAAAAAATATACATTTTTCGACTATTATTTTGTGAGAGGCTATACAGCATCATTTTTCCAATATTATCGTACAGCTTTTGTTTCATGTCCAGATACCGGCCCAAAGAAGCTGGTGTGTTTTAACAGCTTACTCGGCTTATAAGCCAGTTTTAAGTTTCAAAACCCTTTTTTTTAAAAGAAAAAAAGAAGAAAAAAAACATGAATATCAGATGATTTTCATGAGTTGTAATAAATTGTCAGACAATTCAATTGTGTAGCTTGATGAAGAGTTTAGTTGCTATAATTTGAAGCAGCAGTATTTGTATTGAATGATTAAAAAAAGTGAACTCTAAATAAGGGAGCTCAAGAAACCGAATGAATTAAAAAAAAAAAAAAAAACACAGAACAAATAGCAACTTGAATTGTACAGTGTTTTGATCTCTGGGGCTTGAATTGCAGTAGTATATATAAAATAAACTTACCTTTGCCATTCATCATTGCTTTGTGGAGAAAGACATTGTGCAAAAGCTACACATTTGAGTGCCCGCACTGTGCATTTCATGCATAAGCCTAATTAAATTCACAGTAATATTTCTTATGGTACTAGCATACCTTAGAGTCCTAAAATTGAAGAGCCACCTAATTTTTCGCATGGACAACTAAATGTTAGAACATCTATACAATAAACTTCTGTTTGTTGGCCCATAAGAGGCTTCATTTCCTCCTCTTGTCAAACTATATCCTTCATTTTCTTCTAGAGGACTTCAGAGAAAGAGGACTAGTCTTTTTGACATGCTAATATCAATTAAGAAAAACCCATCAAAAAAAGGCACCAAGAGTACATTCCTTAAGCTGTTAGAACTAAGAAACTGAATGCCTTCCTTTTCTTGAAGGTGTAGACTTAGCTTCTTCCAAGTTAGCAGATCCAAGACTCTCGGACGAATCTGAGCCACTATTCTCCCCTTGTCCTCCTTTGTTCGACCAGATTTTCGAGAAGATCCTCTTTGACATGAGCAAACCTTTCATTCTACTCATGGCAGCCCTGTCTGCTTGACTCTTGGCATCGCCATTAGCTTTGTCGTTTGTTCCTCCATTTCCCATTCTTAAGGCTGCAAGCTCTCCTCTCAAGGCCCTGAGTTCTTCTGCAGAGGCTGCAGCATCCCAATCTTCTTCTGTATTAGTTGTTGCAGATCTTGAACTTCCATATGAAGCACTGTTAAGTTCCCTAATTGCTTTGGGCAGATCCGGAGTACTGCTCCCAGACGAGGCATTAGCCCTGACTTGCTCGAAAAAGAGCACTTGCACAACAACACGAAGGGGAAGCCTCTCGTTTTGCACAGCATGCATACAAGCATCCACAGAGAGCTTCTTGCAGTCCATTAGCTTACAAATTCTCTTCCTCTCACTCTTGCTGATTCCAGGGTGCTCCTACACCAACAACAGAGTTCAATAAGTACATACAAGGCATTCATTGATTAGAGTTCCATCACTTTTACCCCCAATACCATCTGTTTGTATGCACCGCGTTTAATTTGCTGCAGTTTTGATAGGTGTGCTTCTTTCCATAAGAAAACGACTAAACTAACCATCCTAAAAGCATTAACACTGTATATACGAACATAGCTCCAAACCTAATAACTAATATATTTGCATAATTATATATTTGAGATAGCATAGATGCAGACAGTTCTTTTCCCATGTCAGTGTTGAAATTCTAATCGCGAGTGGCGGGAAAGATATCAGCTAGTTATTTCAACTATGCAATTGTATGCACAATTCAAGAGATTTATTTCAACTATGCAACTTTATGTAGAATTCAAGAGAAACGCTCACCTTAAGGTACATATCAATTGCGCGATAGATACCATCATGACCGGGTCGAGGAAAATTGGATACCATCTCAGCTAGACCAACAAATGCTGACAAAGGGAGATTAGGATCTTTCGCAATTTCAGTAAGGTATCCATCTACTAGCTTTGCCACCATCAGTTTTGAAGCTTCCGATAAAATCCCAGGCTTTCGGATCTCCTGAATTTCATCTCCATCTTCTAGCTGAGGTTCAGAATCCTTATCTCGCATCATAAACACTTCAAGTATTTTCTGGACGACATGGACATCATACAAGGTTCCTTCCCCATCTGCCGCTCGAATCAAAAGATCATTTATAGAAGCCTCCTCCAATTGCTGCCCTATTCTTTTAACTAGTTCTGCCTCTGCCATTTCTCCAGAATCAAGTGAAATTGATGCTCTCAGCAGTTTTAACAAGAAACTACAAGAGACGCAGCCTTTCTCAGAGGGCAATAGCCATACAATCGTATCCAATATTGCACGACATTTGGAGACATCATTGAACTGGAAAACACCTTTATTAAAGCCTGGAAACCTTCTATAAGCATAAGCTTTCACAGCTTCTCCAATTACTTCAGAGGAAACAATGCCTTTGTTTTTAATGGTGACAATTACCCGCTTATATAAATCAACTTCAAGCTCACTTAAGTCCTCAACCCACCAATCTTTTGGCACCATGCGGCTTCTAATACCGTTCAAATTAGGATCATTTCCGTTCTCCTCTGGAAGCTTTTTCCGGTTATATGTATAGGACCAATCCACTCTGTCAACATCAATTGAAGCCTTGGAAGCTATAGCATCAATGCAGTGGCTGATCAACTTCAGTTCTTCACACAAACGTGACTGAGACTTAGTAGTTTGAAGAACTATTATTGAATCTTTCCAGCTCCGGAAAATGCTCGAGTTCAGGAAAACATCAATCTTGTAAATAAGGTTTCCTTTCTCAATAGTTTCATGCATACCCAGATACTCAGCAGCACACCTTGCTACAATGACATTATAAGCATTCAGTGTAACAGTCATGCCGTAACAAAACTTGGCACATATTTCAAAGGCAGTAGGTCCTCCAGGAATGTCATGAATGTGAACATCATCACAATTTGCTTCACTTGCATTAGCAAACAGCTTTTGCAAAGAGGTACTCTTGGACAGAAGAGGAAACTGCATAGCCATTTTCAGCAAAGAATGAGTACTAGGAGTTCAATTATGGCCAACTAAACAAGTCTAGGAGGTAAATTAAGGCATTTCAATTGCTTAGGATACTTCAAAGATGAAAAGTAGTTTAAACAATTGTTTCATGAAAATTAGCATCATAAATTTATTCATACAGTACAACTTATGGGAATGCTGAACAACTGCTACAGCGCTACTTATCAGTCCAAGTACATCATAAGTAACAAAAAGTTTTTGAAGGTGCCTTTTACACTCGAGGCTCATGCACAGACGTAGAAAACATATTCATCTCAATTTGAATGTAAGTGGTGGATAAATAAAACTAGTAACCACAAGCTTTACTAGATTTGGACCTCCCACCTTCAGGAGAAAAGGATCCCTTTTACTCCTTCAAGGGATTGTACCATCATTCCATGTAGTAACACTCCCTGACCCTAAAAGACACAGCAAAAAGGAAAGAAAAAAGAAAAGCCAAACAAGACAAATGCATGCTTAATTATTCATTTTCTCGAGTCCAGATGGCATAACTTTTCAAAAATAAAGCTTGAAACAAGGAGAATACTGTACTTGTTAAATTACTGTACCTTGTGCAAGTAAAACTTTACATCTCCGACATTAACCGTGATGTCAGAGGCCAACTCCGAAGCAACATATCTGCATCAAAAATCTGTCAGTACAATCGAAACGAGTCTAAACAGTATAAAACAATAACATTGTTAAGGCAATTAAAGGCTATGACCATATCTATACAGAGAGTATTCGCAGATATCCCAAGACTAACATATTGAGAAGAGAGAAATTGGAGAAGACTTAATGATTGCACAGATGCTGCGATGCTGTGGTTTCTACAAGTTGAATTACAGTGATTCAAAATGAAAGAAGTCCACTTCATCCAGCCTTTCTCTTCCATACTGTTATTCTACCTCATCCAAATAAAACGACACTAATCTTCTCTTTCAAAACTGACTAGAAGGTACATATTTCATCTTAGTTTGGCACAAATAAGGTCTGATGACCCTCATCTGTCAGCCCAAGACATAAAATGAAGTAAACAAGGTTGCATCATTCATGTATGGGTCATCAGACCTAAACTGATTAGGCTTCAACTTGTTGACATAATTCAGCTTCCTAAAACCAGAGCAAAAAAATGAAGAGCCACATATATAGTTTTACCTGTCCCTATCATAAAGTATTCAAATCCTTTACTCTTAGAAATAGTTATTACTACTCTTAAATATGTTTGTGCTAATATGACCACACCAACTATTTTTTTATGGTAATGCTTATACCGACTACTGACACAAAGAACTTGCACTATGAATTTTTAATATTTTATTTTTGGATCTAATAGAACTTGCATTATGAAATTTGGCGCAGCCAACTCCCGATTCAACTATTACTGACATCCAACTTTGTGATTCTCTACTCGGAGAACAAGGTATAATGCTTTTCAAACCAATAGCTGAGACCAAGAAGAGAAATATATAATGCAAAATATTGCATGCAATGTTGAACTGGAAACTCCGGATGGCTGAAAAACCTTCCTTTTTTTTGTTTAGGAACAACAGTTTATTTGACCATCTTTTGTTAGGTGAAAGATTCACAACAGTAAAAGTGGTCAATTCTCAAGAAAACACCATCCTGTTACCATACAAACGCAAAGCGATGAAATTTCCTAAAATTCTATCCAGGGTTTGACTTCTCCTGCTGCCCTAAGTATTATCAAAAATGGAAATTAAACAGTAATAAAACCAAAGTCATAGAATAGTTTTAAGGAAAAGATGAATTAGGGATAAGAAGAAACCAACAAATATAATCCCTCGAACCAATTTCTAAAAGCACATATAACTACTCCCACCCCCCAACCCCCCCAAAAAAATCACTACTCTAATACAGGACAGACCACAAGTAAATGGATGCCAATTAATTGACAAGTGACACCAGATACACAAAAAATGGGAAATACTAATTAATTTTCTTATCAATATGAAAAGATCAGTTACAATTCTGCAAAACAAAACAGCTATGAATGACCATTCATCAAGGAAAAAGAGGTTTTTTTCTTCCAAAAAATTAAAATAAAAGAAGCTAGCAAAAGATCTGACCTGATATTGTTCCCATCTGACTGAAAGGTATCAGGCTTGGATCCAAGTTTCATGAACTTCATCTTCGCAACTCAAGGGATCTCTGCGTCTTGTTGTTCACACTTGAGAAATTATACTTCCTTACTACTCAACTAATCACTGTAAAAAATCAAACAGTACCCTGTGTTCATAACCTGATATTCCCAATGCTCAAACATAACCTGAAACCAAGGACAATAAGGACTCCAAAAATGGTAAAAATGAAAGAATCCAAGTGTGGGGACCAAATTACTGAATATGACCAACTTCCTCAACTTGAAGAGAGAGAGAGAGAGAGAGAGAGAGAGAGAGAGAGAGAGAGAGAGAGAGAGAGAGAGAGAGAGANTTAAATGGGATCTCAAAGATATAGTATTTGCTTAGTATAACCGAATCTTGAAAGTAAACAAAAGCAGGAGGAGATAACTTAGGAGAAAGTGAAGAAGAAGAGAATGGTTAAGTGCAGTTTGTTTAATTTAAAGAAAGAAAAGAGGGTTCACTTAAATGGGAAGAGAGCCATAAGTTAAGAGATTGTTTCCTTGGTCGGCGGCAAAGCCCACTGACCCCGGAGTCTCCCTTTCAGCTCAGGAGACATAAACAACTGACTCTCTTCACTAAATTATTCACACACACACACACACACTAGCATCCATTTTTCTCACTCTTTCTTTAATACTACTTTACTCTTTTTCTCTCTCTCACACATACACACTCACTTTACTCTTTCCCTGTTTCTTCCACAAAATGGATTTTCTTAATATATATATATATATATATATAGGCCACACAGAAGAGAGAAACTAAAAATGGGGTCTTGAAAAGATCCAAACTTTCAACCAGAAATCACATGTAAATCCAGAAATTGTAAAATATTATTGTTATTTTAATTGAAAGGTGGGAGATTTGAAGAACCTGCAACGGAAAACAGCATCTCGGTATCAGTTGAAGGAACCACCTAAACAGGAGACAGCAAGCATCTATCTTTTATAGTTTTGCAAAGCTGAAAAAGAACATAAAATTAATGAGAAGATCACAAGAATAAATAGAAGCATAGATTAAAATATATTATTCAAAGACAAAATCAAACATCAGCTACGAATAATATCTGCGGAAGCAAAAAGAATCAACTCAGACAGCAGAAATCTAGCCAGTAAAAAAATGTGAAAAAATTCAGAGAACTCTCGTTATGTTTAACTATGCATTTGAAAGACACAACCCAAAGGCCACTCTCTTTGTAAACACCCAACAAAACCCAAGACTTGCTATTTACATGAAACCCCCTATGTAGAAACACAAGAAATTTACTTCAAATAGACTAATATCAAAGCAAAAGGAAAAATACCTACAAAAATATCATCCCAAAACTTGTTCAAGAACTACTTTTTACAGAAGTTTAAACGAAAAAAATCAAAAAACCCACATGCAGAAGTGTGTGTGTGGGGGGGGG